AATGAAATAACTGTGAATTGATTTTAGAAGTTTCTTTAAACTTCTATGACTTTTGCACACAATCATAACTGTTTTGTGAACATAGAATGTATCCTGTAAGCACAGGTCCTTGAACAAATGTAATCCCTACCTGCCTGCTGTGTACATCTCTTCTACTGAATGGAATCATCACATACAGAGTTTTCTTTAGGCATATTCTTTTTCTGAATGGCATCTTTATTTTTTCTTTTCAGATTATTCTTACTATTTGTTGTGGTAACAGATATAATATGTAGTTAATTCATTTTAAGAAAGTATTTATGGGGCTGGAGAGATGGCTCAGTGGTTAAGAGCACTGGCTGCTCTTGCGGAGGACCTGGGCTCGATTCCCAGCACCCACATGGCAGCTAACAACAACTATAACTCCAATTCCAGGAGAATCTGACATTCTCTTCTGACCTCTGAGGGCATTGCAGGACATAGGTTCACTTACACACATGCGGGCAATATACTTATACACACAAAAATAAAAATAACAAATAAAATATTTAAAAAAGTATTTATTAGAACACATTAACATTCTGTGATACATGAATTCTCAAAAATCTTGCTTTAAAGGGTCTTTGGAAATCACTTATTCTTATTTGTAAAGGATTTCTCATATTATCAGTTTCCACACAAAACCATTGGCCAAAGATAAGCAGTGAATGCCTTTTAAAGACTGGAAAAATATAATAATGAATGGTTAAAATGAGTTTTCAGATGTAAAATTGTACTCAGTGCAACTAAGTGATACAAATCAATTCTCAGGTTGATAGAGAAAAGACTCAAGTTCTAATCCAGGATTAATATCATTTCATCCACTGTGATATTTCCCCACTGTATCAGTGGAGACCTGGGATGGTGCAGATACTGGAGATTGCACAGCTCTCCAACATCTGAGAGGTTTACAGGCTCAGCTGCTCCCCGACCCTTAAATCATCCTTGCATTGTATTTTGTATTTGCTGCTTTTTTCTTTTCTTTTTTTTTTTTTTTTTGAGGCAAAGTCTCATGTAAGCCCAGACTAGTTTCAGACAAGCAATGAAGTCAAGGTAGACCTTGACTTCGAACTCGATTTTCCTGCCTCCACCTCCCAAACGAGGGGATTATAATGTGAGACACTGGGTCCAGCTCTCTACCCACTCTTTTACCACTGAAGTTTATTTTTATTATCTTGAACAGACTGTTAATTCTAGGTCATTAACCATTAATGCTAGGAATTCAGTTATTAAAAAAGAGAGATCAATGTCTATTTGAATTAACAGTGTAACCCTGTTCACAGTCTCACATATTTTTTAATATTTTGTTACCATTTTTTTTTATTTTATGTGTATGCATGTAGGTAAGTGCACCTGTGTCATGCAATGCCTGCAGAGGACAGAAGATTCAGATCCCCTGGAACTGGAGTTACGGACAGTTGTTAGCTGCCATGTCGGCATTCATACAAGATTAAGGAATTCACAAAAAAAGAAAAATACATAAACAAAACTACTGATGATGAGTAAACTTTGCAAGGTAACAGGATGTGCAGTAGACTTAGAGGGAAAACTAATTTTATTTTTAAAAAATAACAGATAACTTGGCAAGATTAAATACCAAAGTAGCATAAAAAAAAAAAAAAACAAGATGCTTAAGAACTATATCCTGAATGTAACACATTGCTGAGAAAAATTAAGAAACCTAACGAACTACAAAGAGGAATTGCAGCTGTGAATTCTAACAGAATTGTTAAGGTATCCATCCTCCTATATTAATCTTTGGATTCAGTGCACACTCCAATCAGACATGTTGAAGAACCTTGAGAAAGTGAAAAAACCTGGAACAGCCAATGTGCTTTCGAAAAGCAAACAATTTGGAGAGACTATGTATTTCACGTCAGATTGAGACAGGTTATATACATTGTTGAGACAGAACAGAGAATCTACAAATTGATGTGTGCAGATACTGTCAATTTATTTTCTACAAAGTACCAAAGTAAGTCAGTGGAAGAAAGGGCTGCCATTTCAACAAATATTGCAAAGAAACCCTTGATACTCATGTGGAATGACTGTGAGTTTCAACTCCTTTCTCACACACAAATTTGAGCTCTTTATATTCCTTTAGAGTATAAGGTAAGCATGTACATTGAAACAATACACTTTGAAAAACACAATCATGGATAAAATCTCTGTGATGTCAATTTAGTCCAAAATTTCTTATATGGATCATAAAACTATAGAAAAAATATACATTGATGAAATTCTAAAATTTCCAGTTTTGAATGATACTATTCAAAATTCAAAAATTCAAAGAGGCAAGATGGTAGGAAGAAATAATTATGGTACATATTCCCAACAAAGGATTTGTTTCCAAACTGTATGAAAAGTCTTATACCACCATATCTAGAAGACAGACAATCCCAGTCAACAAACGAGTCAATATGATTTACACTTGACAAAGGCAGATGCAAATGACCAATAAGTACAGGAAAAGATGTCACTAGTCCTTAGCAAAATGAAAATTCCCTAATTCAACACAGTGGTCAAAATGACAGTATCAAGTCCTGACAAAGGTGAAGGGTATTGGAAGCTCTCCTGTGCTGCTGCTGGGAAAGTTAAACGAGGTAAGCAGTTGGAAAACATCCCAAACATTCCTTGTAAAATGAAACTGCACTTACCCTGGGACCCACTAATCAGATTTCCAGATATTTACCAAAAAGAAATAATATATGTCCATACAGCAATTTGCAAATTAATTTATATACTAACTTTATTCATAATTGTCAAAACTTAGAAACACAATATATGTTTACATGTGAGGTGGAGAAAAAATTAAGTATATTTGTGCAGTCAAAGTCTAATTTATAGCAAAATTAATTGATAATATACGAAATGGCATAAATTAATTTTAAAAAACACGCTGAACAAATCGAAGACAGATGCAAAGCTGTACATGGTACAGGAAGTTCCAAAATAAGCAAAAACAAAGTGCAGTGTGACAAATCATGGGCTGAGGAAAGTGGGTGGTAAGAGGGAAAAAAGAGAGAGAGAAGCCTCATGTTCTGGTGCATTAAGAGCTGTATAGACTGGTTAAAACCCACGCTTCTGATGATTTCAAGTGAATGTCTAACTCAAAAGTTGATTTAGAAAATGTCAATGTAAAAAGAAGAAAACATAAAACACAAGAAACTGTTCAACTGTGATGGTTTGAATGACAATGTCCCCCTCAGGCTCCAAGTATTTTGACATTTTGTCCCCAGACGATGGTGCTATTTTGAGAGGTTTTAGAGAGTGTGACTATCCTGGAGGAAGCACGTCATTGGGGTTGGACTTAGAGAGTTCTTTAGCCTTGCTGGATCTCCAGTTTCTCTCTTGTTTCCTATGCCTGCATGATGATGTGAGAGCTCCATGTTAGCTGCTCCTGCTCCAGCCACCTCCAGCCACCATGCCTCCCTGCCACGACAGACTGTAATTCCCCGGAATTATAAGCAGAAATAAACTCTTCCTTCTATAAATTGATTGGGTCAATGTTTCTATCACAGCAACAGAAAACTGACTAATACAGTAATTGGTACCAAAGAGTGGGCTGTTGACCATGAAGAATGGGACCATGTGGGGTTTCGGGAAAAATGAGAAAGACTTTGGAAGTTTGGGCTAGAAAAGTGGTTGATTGCTGTAAGCAGAGCTTAACAGGCCATTCTAGTAGACTCCTGGAAGAAAGGAGTGCTGAGAACAATGTAGCTCCAGAGGGAAATAAGGGCTTAAGCAGCAACTGGGATATTTTGGCAAAGACTATGGCTGGAGTCTGCCCATAGCCAAAAAGCTTGTCTGAGGCTAGTTGAAAAGTCTCAGACTAATTTCTCTGGTGGAAGAAATTTCAAGACAGCTTAATATAGAAATTTTGGCATGGCTATTAATGATGAATATTATACAGATTTTCAGTAAAAAAAGAGTAAATGGGGCAGAAAGAAATACAGAATGTACAGGATGGAATGAAAAAGAGCACTAGGAAGATTAATGTTGGAGCCCTGGCTTGTGATGGAGAGGATCCCGTTGATAAGGATATTAAGGTGACTAAGGAGGAGCCTAGAGATTCAGACTTAAACAATGGAGAGAATGCCTCCAGGGCAAGACCACACCCAGTTAAGCCTCCAACTCATGAAAGGAAAATACTGCAGGGACCACTGGAGAGAAAAGCTTCTAAAATGGATAAAGCAGGCTGGTGTCCATCCCAAGCTTACAGTGAAATTTGGCAGTATCATTCACCTGGTACTGCCTTTAGAGGCAAGAAACATGCAAGAGTGAAGGGGTAATCAATTCTTCCTCTGCAGTTCCAGAGAGCCTCAGAGGCTAGGCAGCGTGCAACAGGGGTACCCCTGCATAGAGAAGGCCCTGATAGGCCACTGTGTGATGCTGTGAAGGTGAAGCCTGGTTGGCAATGGAGACCCCAAGAAGTTCATGATGCCAGAGCTGTGAGGCATGGACTAAATGCATTTTGCACTTTATATGGTCATGAGCTTGTGGGGGCCAGGGGGTGGAATGTGATGGTTTGAGTGAAAATGTCCTCCACAGGCTCCAAGTATTTGGACATTTTGTCCCCAGATGATGGCATTGTTTTGGGAGGTTTTAGAATGTGTGGCCATCCTGGAGGAAGCATGTCACTGGGGATGGGCTTAGAGAGTTCTTAAGCCTTGCTGGATCTCCAGTTGCTCTCTTGCTTCCTGTGGCTACATGATGATGTGAGAACCTCAGCTGCTCCTGCTCCAGCCACCTCCAGCCACTTCCAGCCACCATGTCTCCCTGCCATGAAGGACTATAATTCCCCTTAAACTGTAAGCTCAAATAAACTCTTCCTTCTATAAAATGCTTGGGTCAGTGTTTCTATCACAGCAACAGAAAAGTGACTAAAACAAACACTAAGAGGACACTGATAGTTATATCTCAGCTGAGTGCACTCTATGATCCTAAACATGAGGAAAAAGTACTCAGACACTTGAGAAGCAGGAGCATGGATTAAGAAGGACATATTACTGTACTAATAATACTAAATGCCTCAAATTTGATCATTTTAGTTTGGATGCATAAGGGAAAGAACTTATCCATGGGATATTATTAGGAACAATTTGGGTCTAGCTTTTGCTTATTTGTTTTGTTTTGTTTTGTTTTGTTTGGGGCATGGCCTCTCTCTGTAGTGCCCTCAAATTCACAGCAATCCTCCTGCCTTAGCCTCCCGACTGCTAATATTGTAAGTCACCATAAACAGATGACCTCAATTATTGCCATATCTAATGAGGACTCAGTTTATCATCAAATAGATGAGCAAGAACAGAGAGAGAGAGACAGAGAGAGAGAGAGAAATAACTGATAAATATAGGTAAAGGTTATATGGAAGTTCCTTGAAATATCCTTTCAACTATTCATAAGTTGAAATTACATTTTATGGGAAAATAAATGTTGGTTTTTTAATGAGGAAAGTTTCTACATGCAAAAAAGACCCCTGTAGCCAACAAAAAAATAAACAGAAACAGAGCTACATTCTAGTTGTTAATTGTATTATCAGAGCCAAGACCTATTGAAATGACTTATCCTATTGGTAACAAGATATCTCTTTATCAGTGTCATTTATTTAGTTCTCTGGGTAGCTCAGGAAACAGAAAGACTGATTCCTCAGGACCTTAAAGCAAAGGATGCCCACTTTCCAGAGACAAGCTGTTCTGTCTTCTCTAGAAGGAAGATGGCATCTGATCTGTTAAGGCAGATTCCTTAACACTGTTCAGTCAGGTCATTACGGTCCTCTTCCAGCTCATCTCTCTGTTTACCCAGTTGACTAAGTCCTATGGTCAAAAACATTTAATCGTAGCAGTCACAAATTACTACAGGAAACAAAAAATGCAATGTTCCCTGTTTATATTTCCTTCATGTTGAACACTGAGTTGAAGAACTGATCCATTCTCTTCTCACAGATGCAGGAGTAGTTATTCTCACAAGCATTATAATCTATCCTTGTTGAAGTGAAAAATACACATTTTCTTCCTCCAGGTTGAAAATTCGTTAAATTCAACTTGCTGTACAATAAAAAAAAAAAAAAAGGCAATTGTTGAAATTTGAACTTAAATTGATATCAGTCATGAATTTATTTTAAATTCTAGTGACAAAAATGTACAGAACATGGAATTAATTGTACAGTCATCACAAAAAGTTTTACTTTTTCTCTAAACTCATTGAAAAGAAATAATAAACTTACTGAAAAGTGACTTTGCTCATTCGGGAGAAGCCATCGCTGCCAAGGTTTGATGACCTTAGTTCAATCCCCAGGAGGCACAGAGTGGAAGGAGAGAAGTGAATCCTCTTACCACAAATATACTGCGGCATGTATACATGCAAAAGCGTGCGCAAGCACACACCCCCACACGCACCCCCACACAGCGTAATTGAAAATTAGAAACAGCCTCTTGATTTCACCCAAAGATCCCACCTTGTTCCACATTGGCTATTTTTGGTCAGCAGGTAAAATGAACTTTCAATATTATCAAAAGGTAGTTTTATGCTAAACCTGATTTCCTATGGAAATTTTTTCAATAAAAGTGACAGATTATAAAATGAAATAAATTTACATTACATACAACACAAGGTTGCACATGCCTGTGATTTTAAGAGAAAAAGGAGAATTGAAATGTGGTGCACATGAGGGGCTTTTATTAATTTTTTTTGGTTCTTTTTCCTTCTTTCTATCTCTACCTCATATTGAATAGATATTCACTGAAACATGATAATCTATTGAATTCCCTGTCTAAAACACAGCTTCCATTTCATCAAAATTGTATATCAGCTTCCTTCCTTCCAAAAATAACTTGAAGCTGCCCGCAATCATATATGCCTTTAATACCAGCACGCAGGAGGCAAAGGCAGATGGGTCCTGAGAGATCAAGTCTAGCCTGGTATACATAGTGAATTCCAGAACAGCCAGAGCAACATAGTAAGATTCTGTCTCAATAATAATAATAATAATAATAATAAATAATAATAACTTTTAAATGTTGAATGAAAAAACAAAACACCAAGTAAAGTGGAACAAGCCTGTAATCTCAGCATTTGGGAGGCTGAAGTAGGAGGATCTCAAGTTGCAGGCCAGCCTGGGCTATGCAGCAAGATCCTTTGCCATGAATTCATTAATAAATAAAACCTTTTTGAATGAATTTAAACTGGAAGGGGAAGATTCCTGCTCAGGCTGAGGCTTCAATGGAGGTAGGAACCCAAAAAGTTAGCAAAAGCACTCTATCCATTCCTTCCCCAATAGCTAGAGTAGGATGAAGAATGAATGTACGGAAAATGAGTCTTCTAAATTCTAAATAATGAATTCCACTAGACACGATAGTGAACAACTGTCATCTCAGCATTTGGGCGATAGAGGCAAAAGGATCAGGAGTTCAAGGCTAGCCTAGACAATGTAGAGAATCTGAGACCAGGCTAGAGAGACTCTGCATCAAAGAAAGAGAGAATGAAATTCACTGAACAACCCAGGGCTGAAACAATAAAGGGGTACATTTTCAGCAAATAATCACCTTGCTTGAACCTTGGATTTAAAACAGGGAGAAAGAGAAATTTCAGATTTACCATAGGAACGGAAAAAAGAAACATCAAGGAATATTGATGAAACCAAGCAGATTAGGCACAGCATGAAAGATACGTTAGGGAGAGATATGCAGATTAGTAAAACATGAGACATCTTTTAAGTACATACAGTGCTTATGGTGCATGTGTACATGATGAACATGGACAAAGGAGGAAGAAAAGACGAAGCAGACCAAGACATATTAAAGCACATAGTCAGCACTCATGACCTCTTGCATTCACTTCCCACGCATGATGTGCACTTTGGCCTCTGTCCAAAAACCTCAAGCTAAGCCCACATCCAAGATCCCTGGGTTACTGGAAGCAGAAGCTGTGACCATGTGTCCAAGCTTTTGTATCTTCCTACCAGAGAAAAATGTGTTTGTGGACCACAGAAACTTCTGTCCATTGGGTTTTCTTACACAAAGAAGAAAAAGCTGGCGAAGCACATCATCATCAGGGATCAGGGCTGGAGCACAGTCAGGCATACAGAGATTGTGTAACCCAGATTCTAATGCACTCCCAGCCTCTGACACTTCATCCTAAACGTTACAACTTGCCCATCTCTGACTCTTCAGGGTGCTATGAGCTATAAATAGATTAATTAACGGTATGGTCACTCATGGTGGCAAACACCTGAAGTCATAGCACTCGGCTAGTAGAGCCGGAGAATCAGGAACTCAAGGCCAGCCTGGGTGTAAATGAGACCATGCCTAGGAAAACCAAAATGAATAATAATCATGATCATCTGTGTGATTTGAGCATATTAATGTCATGTAAGGTTTTCTGATCTCAGATCGCCTCTGCAGTAGTTTGCTTGGGAGTGTCCTTTGGAGGATAAGATTATAAAAAAATATTTCTTCTTGTAGAGTATTTTACAAATTGCAATCTAGCATGCTCTCACTGGCAGGGCCCAATTTCAGTGTTAGAAGTGACACAGACTTAAAATACTTTGAGATATTAAATGAAAGAATTCACTCTTCGGAAAGTTAGGACATTCACATCATGCCTCAAATAGCTTCTAAAGTGCTCCAGAAGAAAAGGGGGAAAAATTAACCCACTGAAGACCACAAAGAAAATGGCACCATAAGCAAAAGCCAGAAGAAACAATAGACTAGAGTCACAAAATTTTAAATATTGGGATTACCAGTTAATGGGTGTAAATTAAAAATGTTTAATATCTTTCAAGGGGGCTGGAAAGATGATTCAGTGGGTAGGAGCACTGTCTGCTCTTACAGAGGACCAGGATCTGCTTCCCAGCATCCACATGGCAGCTAACAACCTTCTGTAACTCCAGTTCCAGGGCATTCAATAGCCTCTTCTCACCTTCTTGGGCATTGCGTGACATACGTACACTTACATACATGCAGGCAATATACTCATATACATAAAATAATAAATAAAATATTTAAAAAGACAGGCGAGGCACTGTGACACATACCTGTAATCGCAGCACTTAGGAGATAGAGGCAGGAAGATAAGAAGTGCAAAGCCAGCCTGGACTATGTGAAAACTTACCTTAAATCATTAAAATGATTTTAAAAGATATAAAAAGCAACTTGGAACTATTTCTAGCAGTGACTTGAAGTCAAATACAGGAACAAAAATATAATGCTTCAGTATTTTTTTAAATCAATGAAGAGGAAGGATAACAAAATACATGTTATACGAAAGCAGAAGTGGAAATATGGTGGGTTAAGTGTTAAGTGGAGATGGGAGCAAGATGTTGGGGGAAAGGAAGGGACAGTGAGTGGGTTACCCAAAGGATGTATGAAAAAGCCTTATGTAAGCTAATTTCAAAATAGGACTTTAAAAAAGTTTGAACCACAGCAGACAGGGGTTACTAAATGAAAACCATACTGTAAGACATGAACTATTACCCTACATGCTACTGGTCCAGTAAGCCCCAGAGGTCTCCAAGATAACACAGGCCATTTCCATTTCCCTTGAGTATCCACCATAAGATATGATAAGACTTTAGGACAAAAATACGTTTGGCTGAAGGATATAGAGAAATTAATCTTAAACCCAACAGGAAACTTCCTCCCCCCTTTCACAATGTCAGAAATGCTATGCAGGCTTCCTGAGTGAAAAAGACACCAATGGTCTTGCCCAGTATTGAACTCAAAACGACACAACACAACACTGACCTGCTAGGCAAGATGTGCCACTGGTGCAATAGTGACACAACTGCTATAGGGAACCTAACTGCTTTAGGACTGGATGTGAGGCCTCCCAACAGGAGGGCATTTCTTTCTTGGCAGTCTAATCCTGGTCAGAAGCCCATGTTATAGAGGTTGAAAGCCTGGCACAGAACCTGCTATTGTTACTTTGCTAAATGTCCAGGTTGTCAAATTGCACTCTAAGTATTTACAACCACAGGTCTAGGCTACTATCAACCTCGGTCAGAGCAGCTTGTTGTTTTTTGCAGTGGGCAGTAGTCAGTACAGACTCATTACTGATCAGAGTGCTGAGAATGAAAACAAGACTAAGTGCTTAGACCTAAATGGGACATCTTTAACACCTACTACCACAACCACCACGAGGTTTGGGGGACATTTTAGAAGAGGAGATGAAAAGAATATAGGCAGAGGACAGGAAGGAGTATGTGAAATTCTGTCTTCTGGAAATGACAGGGCTATTATAGTCATGAACCTACAGGAGGTGTGGTCACCTAAACAACACAGGCACAAGGACCCAAACCCTGCAAAGATGGGCAAAGTGAACTCCATCCCTTTCTGAGGCGCTACCAACAGGTAACAGCTGTTGGGAGTGGGAGAACCATTATTTTTTGTGGGGGTGGCCATTGGTAGATCTCCAATGCTCTGGTGCCACATAGAGGCAGCACATCATGCTTAAAAAGCATAAACTTGGAGGGGATGTGTGGAGAAGGATGTGGAGAGAATTGAAGGGGGCAAGGAATGAGTGGATAAGATCATAGTCTAGTCTATACATGAGTGAAATTCTCAGGAATAAGAAAAATATTAACAAAATGCCAATAAATGGTTTTATAGCAGATTATAACTAAATGTAAACATAACAGTTTATACAATGCTGCATTTTAAAATCAATGTGCATACGGGCTGGAAAGATGGCTCAGCGGTTGGGAGAAGTGGCTGCTCTTTCAGGACCCAGATTCAATTCCCAGCTCCAACATGTCATTGACAACTATCTATAACTCCACTTCCAAGGGATCTGGCACCCTCTTTTGACCTCCATAGGCATGGCACAACATACATGAAACCATACATACATACACTCACACACATAAAATAAAAATAATAAATAAAACATTAGAAACTATGTGTATATGTATATATAATCATGTTCTTATATTTATAAAAAACAAGCATGTATATAAGCTAACTGCATCAGGAGATTCAATGAGTATTTTAGATACTAACAGTATCTCAAAAGTCAGAATGGTCAAAACATTAGAAACTATGTGTATATGTATATATAATCATGTTCTTGTATTTATAAAAAACAACCATGTATATAAACTAACTGCATCATGAGATTCAATGAGTATTTTAGATACTAACAGTATCTCAAAAGTCAGAATGGTCCAATGACTCTGTGTCATCTGACAATTCACGACTTTGTTTCACTCTGTGCATCTTAGCACACACACTCCAGAGCATGGGTTAGTATTATGTCATCAGGAGCAAGCTCGTCTGCATGTCTCTTCCTCTTCTAACAAACTTCTTCAAGCCCTTTCTTACACAGCTTGTTGTTACCTACATTTTCCTTTTGGAAATGAGTAAGCTTTGGAAGTGTGAGGGGATGCTTTGTAGACACGTTCCTTCCAACTCTCACACCAACATAAGAGTTTGAATGATTCCCCACACTCACAAGCTAGATGTGCCATTGTCGATCCACTGCCATCCCTTCCCGGTATCATATGATAATCCAATCCAATACGTGTGTGAAGAAAGCTGGGGCTGAAGGAAGTTCTGAAAAGGAAACATAGTATGTCTTAGGGTAAAGTTTTCATCTGTTACCAATGAATAAAAAATAGGAAAAGGTCCCCTGCTCTTGCTGTGCAGTCCTGTGCTCTCCCTCAATCCCTGCACTTTCATTTTCCAAATTAATTTTCATATATGACAAAACTTATGTCTGTTTCATAAATTATTTTAAATGAGAACATCAACCATCTAGCAATAGGGGATTCATTAAATGGTTTGTGACTATGATTTATTTTTTAGACAAAGTCCTACTGTATAGGTGAGGCTGGTCTCGAACCCACAATCTCCTTGCTTCCTTTTTCCTGACTGTGCACTGCACACTTGGCTCATGAAATACACTTTGACAGTTCATGAAAATGTTCAAATATATACTGCAGAAGAATATGGAAGGATGTGGGAAAGCGGTCATTCGATGTGACATGATGGAACTTCAGAGCAAATTGATTAAAGTAAAAAGTACATGTGAAAAGGTGTGCGTCACGGCTCCACTCTCCACAGAGGAAGCTTATCTGTAATTCAGTGCCTGGGTGAGGTGAGAGCTAGAAGGAAAGGGGGATTCTGAAAGTATTTAATGTATCCATTGCAGCATAGCAGAGTGACATGGTTACGTTTTAGAAGACAGGTTTAAATTTAACTATTTTTACTGTACCGAATGGAAAAGTATTTCAATACTTGATATTAAAAATTCATTTATGTTGTAATTTTTTGCTGTTGCTTTGAGACAGGGTCTCCCTGGACCCCAGCTAACCTAGAATGTGCTATATAGACCAGGCTGGCCTCTATCTCACAGAGCTCCACCTGTCTCTGCCTCCGAATTGCTGGGATTAAAGGCAAGAACTACCATGAATTGCTTATATTGCAATTTTTAAACATATATTAAATTTGCAATAAATTTTGAATCATTTTTCTAAAAAAGGGATAGAGGTTTCTGATTGATCCTTAAGCATTTCTCTATAAAAACACATTTTGTGTATTTAGAGAATTTTCATTAATAAACAAGTTCAGTATCTTGGCCACTATATTTTATCTTTTCATTACTCTTTTGAAGCTAGACATCTTTATACAAAATATAAGACTCTTGAAGTAAATATGATGACGGGATGCAGTGAATGTCATCACACGCTGAAGTATACCATAGGGCTACCTGCTAGAGCCACTGAGACCTCTATGGTTCTCCTTATCTCCTGTTGCAGCCAGAATCAGTGAGGTCAGTGACTTTACCTAATGTCTTCAAGCTACCAAACAGCAGAGACTTATTTCCTCCCAGCAGCCTCCGAGTTCCTGATAGTAGCTCCTAGACTGCTAACTCTGTAGTTTTAGTTGGTCCCAGACTATACTTTCTTTACCAAAGGGATGAATTCATCCAGTTAAGGCATGCTTCTCTGTGAGATGCTTTTGTAGACTCTTTGGAGAGGGAAGAGATTACAAGGAGCCAAATGCATCCTTAATGATGAGTAATAGATACCATGCACTTAGTAAGTAGCCCACAGGAGTATCCTGGGAGACTCTTAACTGCACAGCTTCTGTTCACATTCTAGATAAAACACACAGAATATTTTAGTTGTCTCTAAACTCCTGCCTGGCCTCAGTATCTTACCACCCTACCCAGGAGTTGAGAGGCAGAGTCCAAGAGAATAAAAGTACATGTGAGAGTCTACAATACCTGTTCTTTCTCGTCATCTATCTTCAGAAGGGATGAACTGGAATGGTGGCAAGTCTGCTTACATTTATCCCAGGTTTTATTGTCCATGGTAAAATAATAACACTTCACGCCACAACAGAACGGTCTTTCAAAGGGTCTGCCTATAACAAAGAAGGTCAATCATTAGACTTCTTATTATCTGGTATTCTGTTAGTCCAAGAAGATACTTATGAAGCCTATGAAACTAAAATCTTATAACTCTCAACAATTAAGATTCAGTGTCAGGACACACACACACGTTCTGTGCAGCATTGTTTATAATAACCAACTATGAAAAAAACTTAAGCACTTTTTTGGGAATGAATGGATGGAGAAAATACAGCATTTGTGCACAAACAAATATTATTTAGTCTTTAAAAAGGAAGTTAATCCAGCCAGGCATGGTGAGCCATGCCTTTAATCCCAGCACTGAGGAGACAGAGGCAGGGAGATCACTGTGAGATCCAGGCCAGCCTGGTCTACATAGTGAGTTCCAGTACAGGTGGTACTAAGGGAGACCCAGTCTGAAAAATAAACAAACAACAACAACAACAAAGGAAATTAATCCAACTGGTCTTAATCAACTATAATTGCATCACTCTGTAGGCTGAAGCAGGAGGCTCACCATTAGTGAGGCCAGTTTAGACTATATAGTAAATTCTAGGCCAGTTTGTGTTAAAATAAATCTTTTAAAAATTTTTTGTTAAGCACTATGTTAAATACTCTTCCCATAAATTAAAGTGATACATGAGGACACTTTTGAAGAAGATAGTCTATTCACCTGATTATGGTGATGGCTTCATGGGTATGCCTACACAGCCAAACTTTTTAAATTTATTATTTTTATTTTTATTTATTTTTTAATAACTACATGATTAGAAGAAGCATTTCATTACGGCTTTAACATATTCAGTAACACACTCCAGAGCAAGAGTACATCTCTTTCACAAGTGGCTGTAAGTTTCTAGGTTCACATTTGAATTAATACAGTTATACAATATTGAACTCAGTATGAGCCCTGTAAGACATAAATTTGAATGAGTTTTAAACCTTTGAAAGAGATCTCTATTTCATTTTAGAATATATTGTTCCTTATAGAAAGACTCATTGTTTTTGTTACTAACACTGAGATGTTGGTGCATGCATCTCTAGTCTGTATGTATCTATTACTAGTCATAATCGGTTGTACTTGGATCCTTGGAGCCTGTGTATGTCTATAACATCATTGGGTAGATTTCAATGGGAATGTTTATCACCTCTACTAATTAACATGATGTAAATTTCTATGCTTCCTCCACACATTATTTTTATTTTTAAAATCCATATTTTATTTTATATAGTGAAATACAGCTTATATGTTAACACTACAATAAAATGAGTTGATATAGTTTTAAACAAAAAAAGAAATTTTTTCAAGTTACAAACTCCACCAAAACAAATTTAAAAATAAAATCACCTTTTTAAAATGAATTAATGCAAATGTATGCAGTGACTAATCATATCTAATTTGTATTGCACTAATAGTCAGTAGAATTAAAATGAAAGCCCCACATTCTCAAATTTAAATACATTAGAAATGTAAAATTTTGTGTGTCAATAATACCTCAGTAAAATCACCTCATTTGTAGGAGGTGTTGGGGACGATCACATTCTACTACTGAATTAACTCTTTAGTCATTGATATTTCTGTGAACTTGGTTTGTAACCACGGAATGCCACAAATTTATATTCTCCTACCTCAGCCTCTTAAGTAATGGGATGGTGTTATTCTGCCACCAACTACAAGTTATTGTAAACTAATAAAATATGTTTTAAAATTCAGGATCTCACCTTTCCCACTGAGACTACTGGAGAGTACCTGAGTAGCTCAGGCAGGTGAGCCAAATCCAGTCACCTTGCCCATTTCCCAGCTTTTCTACTCCCCCAGCATTACCCCCTCCAACACAATGCATCAGAGCTCATACGTTCTCTGAGAGCTAGCAAGAACTAGCCCATCCTATTCCCATCTCCTCTCCTTGGTCCTTGGCCCCTTCCTGTAGAGGCTGCCAGCAAGGGCCTGACTAATTGGGATGAATTAACCAATCACCAAAAGAACCTCTAGTAACTATACAAACTCAAGGATATTAAACAACACACTCCTGAATTATGACTGGGTCAAAGAAGAAATCAAAAATAAAAATAGCATTCCTGGGATGAAATGAAAATGATAACACAACACACACACACACACACACACAAAAAAAAAAACCCTCTGGGACACATAAAAGCAGTCCTAACAGGGAAGTTTATAGCTCTAAATGCCTACATTAAAAAATCAGAAAGAGCACAAATAAATAACGTAATGGTACAACTGAAGTATCTGGAAAGACAAGAACAAACAACCCAAATGCAGCAGATGAGAAGAAATAACAAAAATCATAGAAGACGATGAAATAGAAAACAAAGAAAACAATACAAACAACCAATAAGTCTAAGAGCTGGAGCTTTAAAAAGTTAAAGAAGATAGACTTTTAGCCCAGTTAACCAAAAGAAAACAAGGGAAAATCCAAATCAAAAATTCAGAAACAAAGGGCATAGCAAATACCAAAAAGATCCAGAACATTATAAGGGATGTGGTGGTTTGAATGAAAATGTCCCCCTAAGCTCCAAGTGTTTGGACATTTTGTCCCAAGATGATGGCACTGTTTTGGGAGGCTATCCTAAAGGAAGCATGTCACTGGGGGTGGGCTTAGAGAGTTCTTAAGCCTTGCCAGATCTCCAGTCGCTCTCTTGTTTCCTGTGCCTGTGATGATGTGAGAGCTTAGCTTCTGCTGCTCCTGCTCCAGCCACCTCCAGCCACCATGCCTCCCTGCCATGATGGACTGTAATTCCCCTGGAACCATAAGCTCAAATAAATTCTTCCTTCTCCAAATTGTTTGGATCAGTGTTTCTATCACAGCAACAGAAAAGTAACTAATACAAGGGAATACTCTAAAAACTTATACTCTATTAAAATTTAAAATATAAAAGAATTGGACTAATTTCTAAATTCATGAAAACTGCAAACATTAAATCAAGAAGAGATCAACCAGTTAAATTTACTCATAACAAATAAAATCAAAATAGTAATATAAAGCCTCCTGGCTAAATAAAGTCCAGGCCCACAGCAGAATTTTACCAGACCTTCAAAGAATTTCTACAACCAATACTACTCAGATTATTCAAAAAGACAGAAACAGAGGGAGAACTCCCAAACTCCTTCTATGATGCCAGTATTACTCTAACAAAAACCAGGAAAAGACACAACAACAACAACAAAAAGTATAGGCCATATCCCTAATAAATATAGATCAAAATACTTCCAAATCACATAAAAACACACGTCAAAAAGATCATCTACCATGATCAAGCAGGTTTTATTCCAGAGATGCAGGAATGGTTTAATATACATAAATCAATAAATGTAATAAATCATATAAATGGACTTAATGACAAAAATCACATGATCATCTCAGTAGACACAGAAACGGCCTTTTATAGAATCCAAGATACAATTGTGATAAAAGTTCTAGAGGGAATTGGACTGGAGGGAACATAGCTCAACATAGTTAAGATTATATGCAACAAACCCACAGCCAACATCATTCCAAATGGAGAAAAATGGGAAGCATTCCAATTAAAATCAAGAACCAGACAAGGCTGTCTGCTATACCCACAACTTTTCAATAAAGTGCTTGAACCTCTAGCTAGAGCAATAAGACAAGAGAAGGAAATTAAAGGGATAGTAAAGATAAAATTATCCTTATTTGCAGATTTGATTTTATGCATAAGAGATCCCAAAAGTTCCAGCAGAAAACTAGAAATGATGAACACTTTCAGCGAAGTGGCAGGGTACAAAATCAATCTACAAAAACAATTAGCCTTTCTGTGCACAAATAATAAGCAAGCAGAGAATGAGTTCTAGTAAAGAGTTTCATTCAAAATAGCCTCAAAAAATGAAATATGTAGGAATACACCCAACCAAAGACATTAAAGAGCTCTTAAATGAAAATTTTAAATCCTTGAAGAAAGAGATCAAGGAAGACATGAGCACATGGAAAGGCCGCCCATGCTCATGGATTGGTAAAATTAATATAGTGAAAATAATCATTCTACCAAAAGCAATTTATAGATTCAATGGGATCCCAATCTAAACTTCATGACACTGTTCACAGAAAAACAAAAATTCATCCTGAACATCATATGGAAGCACAAAAAACCCCAGGATAGACAAAGCAATCCTGTGTAAAAAGCAATGCTGAGTGAATTAATATACCAGACCTCAATCTATATTACAGAGCTATAGTCATATGAACAGCATGGCATTGGCACAAAAACAGACACGAAGATCAATGGAACAAAATAGAATACCCAAACATGAGTGCACACAATTACAGCCACCTAATATTTGACAAAGGTGCCAACAACACAAATACATTGGAGGAAAGACAGCATCTTCAACAAATGGTGCTGGGAAAACTGGATCTCCATGTGTAGAATGAAATTAGATCCATACTTATCACCATGCACAAAATTCAACTCCAAAGGGATCAAAGACTTTCACGTAAAGCCTGAAATTGTTAGAAGAAAACATGGATATCAATATAAAGACTGTAGGTGTGGAAAAGGACTTTCTAAATTGGATATCAGCCACCTGAGAATTAAGGTGGGTAATCAACAAACGGGACCCCAGTAAAATGAAAAGCTTCTGTATGTACAACAAAGGAAATAACCAACTGAGTGACGAGGAAGCCCACAGAGTGGGAGAAAATCTTCACCAGCTATACAGAAGATTAATATTAAAAATATACAAAGAACTCAATAAATCAAAGAAGAAAACAAATGACCCAATTTAAAAAAAAAAAAAAAATGGGCCATGGTGCTAGGAGCCACATATGAGGGAGAACACATCGTTTGTTTTTCTGAGTCTGTATTACTCCACTTTAACAGTTTCTAGATCCTTTTAAATTCCAGGTCCTTTTAATAAGATGATGCTATAGAGCAGTCCCTTCTGCATGAAATAACTACCATCATCACGACTTCGGCGCCTGATTGCTAAACGTAATCACAATTGGGCTTGTTGACGATTGTGCTCATTCATTAAAGGAGTGCCAAGCAGGGTCACTGGACCCTCACCTGAGTATCCAGCCACTCTTCCCAGCTAACTAGTCCAGCTTTGGAAGACAAAAGAAAAATGAGGAAGAACCCAATAGAGGGATGCTTTTGGAAGCCCTTGTCAAGAAACTCCAATGGACTCTTAAATGAACATTTGAAAATTGCCCTGTTCTGACTTTTTTCTAGTTCTCTGTCTAGAACTTGTAATGCTAACTAC